AGTAAAGGTTTTATTAAACTTAACATGTCAGAGATAAAAAAACAATCAACAACAATAACAGGCAGGCCGGCAAGGTGAGTATAGTTGGTGTGGCAGTTTATAACTGCTGTACCAGCTATCTTCGCGTTTGGACTCTATCACCACTTAACAGCAGGTGGAGTAGAGAAATTTGTCCACCAGGCTATAAAAAAAAGTTAAGGTCCGAGAATTAAGATATTAATTTGTGAACTCCATAGAAAATATTAAGGCATCAGTCCCCTTAAAACTTTATTCGTTTGACACGAATCATATTTATTTTAAGAATACTGTTACTTTCAAATCAATGAGTGAAATAATCACGCGGCGGGTAGTGATTGTGATCGTTGTAAACCACTATGATCTCATCATCCAGAGTGCATACTCTTGCGCAACATCCTCTGCTGTTGTGTGTGGAACATCTCCACCAGACCTTGGCTTTCGACTCGCCTTTATACTTCTTCATGGAGAATCTGTAACCGCCGATGGTCAGGCACCGATTTCCCTTATGAGTTACTCCAAATTCGTAATCTGAAAACAAAAAACTGTTTTGATCGACGAATCGTTGCGTGCGTTCGAATAAATTGGGGAGAATAATGCAGAGCTTCGTTTTTGTCTTTTCAGATCAGGTATTATATTTTTTTCCACAACCAGAGTGATAAAAATAGATTGTACGAATTACATCTTGTTTCTTTACTAAGATCTGTTCCTTACATGTAATTGTGTCCATTTACTATACCTTTAATACATTTATTTTACCATTAAATTGCTATATTTTTATATCTCAGGATAAGTGTCACCTGGAAAAAAAACAACTCTGCCGAGGTACTTCTGTTGGATTCGAACCAGATTTCTTCAGACTTTTAGATACCTTTATCATTAAAACTGCAATTTTTCCTATGAATCTATTATTTAAATAATTTTCATAGCTCTGTTTCTGTTTTCCGAAGGCTTAATTTAAAAATCATCACAAATAATAAGTAAACTATCAGTTTAGGAGAAAATAACTGAGCGTTTTAATGTTTATGATTGGATGTAATGAAACATACAGACATTGAACTATTGAGTACATGTGACATGATTTTAAGCATACATTATGGTTACGAATATTTGCCTATTGATGATTTGACTACATGTTATATAAAAGTTATATTATTGATTATGTTTATTGTTGGCTTAATTAATGTAGGTGAAAAACATTAATACAGAGAATAAATAATTAAGAAAATTAATTATATTAATTGATATACTTACAATGTAGGTATATCAAATTTTCTAAATAAAATATAACATATTTAATACACTCTACTTAACAAAAACTATCACAGTGTTCCTAAAACATATTTAATTTCTATTTTTATTGGAACAAATGCATCATAATAAAAATGACTAGGCACTAAAAATTATCTTAAATAGAATTCCCGTATATTGTTTTAGACATGCTAGTGTCTAAGGCAGTGGCCTTAGATCACTAAATTCAATAATTACGCAATCAGCAAAGCACCAAAAAATTATCAAATAAACTAAAGGCGCAGAATAAAATTTCCAGCGTTAGGAACAGCACCGTAGCATTCTCATTTATTATCAATTTATCACCCAATGTAAATGTATATATAACTAGTCTGGCCATAAATACTGTTACTTACATAAAAACTTTTATTTTTTTCAACTTTTTAATTATTTAGAATTTGGAACACGTGTATAATTTTAAAAACTTCTTTCGATATATATATTTTTTCACGTTCATTATCAAATTACAATAGAGCATGGGGTGTTAAAGAAAATAGGATTGCAGTGATCGCTTTGCACAAAGTGGATATGGAGACGTTGGTCATATTCGAGACACTTCAAAAGCTTAGTATCAGCCGTATGTTCGTATATCGTACTATCAACAGATACAACAACACTTCGTCTGTCGAAGACCAGAAAATATACCGTCGACTTTCCAGCAGGCTTCTGCACCAGGTCACAAGGCACGAACTACCCAAGCCTGGCTTGAAACCAACGATCCGGACTTTATAAGAGCTGAAGACTGGCCCTCATCTAGCCCAGATCTCAACCATAATTTGAAGTAAAGGACTTCGACTCAAAAACTTTAGACTCGACTCAAGAACTTTTAGAGGACATGGCCTGTTCTAAACAACACGGCCACATTGAGTCTCTTAAAAAAATCTTTGGAGCAAGCAGTGGCGAAATTTCCCTTGGAAATAGTGCGTAAATCTATAGATTCGTGGTGGCCAAACAGATTAATGGCCTGTTTAAAAACCAAAGGTGGCCATTTCGAAAAGATTTTTATTATTTTTTTACTGAGACCAATAAATATGTAGGTATAAATTTTAATAATATTTACTTTTACTTCATAATAAAAATGCATTTTCATTTGTAACAGAACTTATGGCTGGACTAGGTATACATCTTTGTCGTTCTCTTTTTAAGGGTACACCAGTTACAGTTAGCAGACTTTCTGGTTATTTTTTATTGATAGTGTAAAGCTCATATAAAAGGGTACCTATCAATCGGGCTGCTACCAGCCTAGAAGGTATTGCAAATGGTGCAATCATGGCAATTATTTTCCAATTATATTTTTCTACCTATAACAAAATAAGACTAAGTAGGTATAAATTACCAAAAAATAAACTTATTACTTAGTTTATTTTTTAAATATTTTTTATCAATTAAATATTATTATCTTAACTATCTATACTAATATCATAAAATAAATAAAATAAAATAAAATATGTTTATTTCGAACTAGAGTCCACATAGTGTTAGTAACAAAACTTCATAGGTTTAAAAAAGAGGCAAGAGTTGTATGTTAAGTACTGAACCAAGTTCGAAAATTAAGCCATCATAAGGTAGCTACAATATTTATTATTATATTTACAAGCATTAATCACAATATCGTTGATTAATCTGCTCGATTTGTAAATATAAAGATTTTTTAACTTAAAAAAAACCACTCTGTCAACTTCTCCGAGGGGAAATTCTAGTAATTTTTTGTATATACCTACATTATATCCGATTCTATGCCGTTAAAATAAATTTTGCCTGTGCAATACTAGGGCGGATCACTAGTATAAAACCAACATTATCGCGAGCTGATTTATAAAGACAGGGAACCCGTTAAGTATGTACCTACTAGCGAAAAATAGGTTTATTTATTTATTTAAACTTTATTGCAAAATTACAAAGCAAATGGCGGACATAATGCCATAAGGCATTCTCTACCAGTCGACCAGTAAGAGCGTGAGAAAATCTAATATGACGGGGGCGCAATAAAGACAAATTTAAGATAAACCAATGATACAAATACTCTTAACAGAATACATACATATTATACACACACATATACATATATATATATATATACATATACACACATATACACACGCATATATACAATACATACATAAATACATGGTTATGTCAGTCAAATATGAGAACGCTGTTTAATGCTATTGAGATAGTGCTCACGAACCAATCCCTTAAATGCAATTTTGTTAGGAGCTTTACGTATATTGGGGGGTAAGTCATTCCAGAGTCGTACAGCCGTGACAGTGAAAGAGTGGGAGACGAAGCCAGAAGAATGGACGGGAGTATGCAGAAGGAGATTGTCCGTTGAACGGAGAACACGGTCATGAGAATCACTCAGAAACCTAAATCTGCTTTTTAGGTAAACCGGTGTATGTGGATCGAAGAGAAGATTAAAAAGGGCACAAACAACTCTGAGGTTCCTACGCTCACGAATAGGAAGCCACTTGAGCTGATGACGAAAATGTGAAATATGGTCGTATTTACGTAAGCCATATATGAAGCGGATGCAGTTATTTAGAAGTCGATCCAACTTATTTAAAAGATTTTCATTTATATCAGGATAACATACGTCGGCGTAATCGATGATAGGCAGAATGAGAGATTGAACAAGGACAATCTTTTTCTTTTGTTATTTCTCATTAAGTAACCTTTCAGTAACATGAAGTAATATCGTTAAAATAAACTTTAAAAACAGTATAATTCTGAGTTTTTCATTAAATTTAAATAATCATAAATACCGATTATGATAATTTATTTTTCATCATTAAATAAGAAGGAATTTTATCACAGTTTTGTTGTAAGTACTTAGTATAGGATAAGATACTGCGAGTAGCCCATTTTTTCTTTTCCTCCTAGAATTTATCTACGTTTATAAACACCAAAATTCCTCAAAATTTCTTCTCCCAGCATTCCTGCATTCTCTTTGTCTCCGTTGTAACTTTTTAAATATTTGTCGAGATGACATACAGTATAGGGAAGATTTAACGTCTTTAAATATCAAAAGCGATAAAAGTATTTGTTTTGTGGATTTTCGGAATAGGATATCAAATATAACTTTATTTTTGATTTACTATTTTAGCGATTATGGCTTACACATTAAAACTAGATATACGCTGTCGTGGAAGTCCACGACAGCGAAACAAGTGTTTGTAGAACTATTTAAGAGATTTTATTGTTTTTGCAGTGCATTTTTTACCGTCTTACATGATACTTGTTGTTATATTTTAGCCAATTCACTCAATAACTTCATATATAATTATCTATTTGTTATTATTATGTGTGAGCTTCATTATTGTTAAGTTAATTAGAATCCATTTAGTATTTTTTGAGTGAAAGAGTAGCAAATATCCATACAAACGTAAAACTGAAATTGAAAGCGTGAGTGGTTGATATACAACTTTTAATCGTTGTAGATCCTAAACAGTCATATAAAATGAAAAATGCTGTAAGGAAACTAAACATGATTTTTAATTATCTGGACAATGACACTCCACTCGGCATATTTCTAGTATAATATCTTTAGTAGCACTCCCATAATTAAGACGAATCAATTGACGTATGAGTCATTAAAAACGGTCCACGCGTTTGGTCTCTAGTGTGCCACAAAGGATTATATATATATACAAACAGGGTATAGTGTTTAACAGTCTATATATATATATATATATATATATATAGACTATTAAACACTATACCCTGTTTGTGCGTCGCACTTCGCTCTCTTGCATTGCACAGTCGGGTAATAACAAGCTTTCTTTAGCAGCAAAATTGGGAGGAAAAAATCAGTAACCTCAAAGAAAAAAAAAACTACTATATCTAACATCAAGCCTCGAATACATAACGGATTAAATACTGCAATATGATGTGGATCAAGACGCGCAACAACTACGTACAACTCACGGGAAAAATGTCGCGAAACATTTTGCAGGCCACACTAGTCAGTGTTTATAGAAATATCGCACGAGGAGGCAGGTTGTGGCTATAAGTGCTGCATACATACAAATTTCAGGATACATGTTGAAAGGAACGTTGCGCACACAACTACACTCTGGAGCATATACACTGACACTGACGCGGAACACATGTGCTCGCTTTCGGAGCGGGAGTAAGCAACATGTTCCACATGATGACAGCTATTTGTAAAGTCGACAACAGTCTGTCTTTAACAGACTTTATAAGGAGTGATAACGTCGAGTTGTCGCCGATGTCAAGTTTACAAATAGCAAATACGAATAGCCGAGTGAAGTTCTGGCATCACATGAACGCGTAGCAAATTGTTTGCGGGCAAGTTGCGGGATGTTGCAGCGTCACGTAGATTGAGCGTTGCACGTCATGTTGAGGGACATTTTGTCCCCTAATATATTCGAGGCATAGGGATTACGTAAACACATCTAAAATGTTTATTATCTTTTGAGCTGACAGACAAATTTACATAATTAACTGTATTCAAGACTTATTCTACGACCTTATCGAAATGGCATTAACATATATTATCATAATATTAAAAAATATCCATGTAATAATTACCTAAAATGTAATACTACCAGGCACTACTGAGACAACACTGAGAACATCAGAAATATTATTATTTTGAATTATGTTGGCTACTTGCTATTACATACATAATAAACTATAGCTATTCTTGGGTTACCAAAGACTTTAAAATTATTGAGAGTTCAACTAACTCATGTGTTTAATTAAGTAAATAAAACATAAAAAGTATGGTATAGCCAGAATAAATAACGAGTGTTTTTTTTCTAGTTATCCCTCATTTAAAAAAATAATACCCAATAATAAGCAATTCAAATTAACTAAGTATGATTTAAGACACACTATATGTCCGCTTGTAAGATATACTTACGAATCATTAATTTTGACTAGATTACTTTCCTCTTACCAAAAACTTCCATTTAGTTGACCTCAATAGCACCACGTATTTCTCTTATTTTTTTTTAATTCATTCCTGAATTTATCTGCCTTTAGTGTATATTATACCACATAATACGATTAGTTTAAAAATCACGTTTTAATTAAATCTTGTTTTTAACATACAATTTTTTTTCTGCTCGAAATCAATTTTGTTTTTTAAAAAGTGCTTGCGTACTTTTTTTTGATAATATTTAATAGCAATTGACTAGAACTAAAGGCTTTACAGATTACTACAAATTAAATAAATATCAATTGCCATAACCCCTCTCACTAAAAATATCTTCGCGTCTGAACTCTATTCATTTATCAACATCAGGGTGCAGTAATTACAAATGTTACAAAAATACTTGGCCAAGTATGTGTTCCTAATTCATATTAAGCATTTCGAGAGTTCCACGTAAATTTAGAAATTTTGAACAAGATTACAGAAGCTCATATAGCTATTGATTAATTCTAATGTTAATATTTAATAGACGTTTATTTCTACGTCGATGAACACACTGATACTACGTCGATAAATAAGCTGACACCAAAGAGCGACACCGTATACCGATATATCATTGCTACAAATTTATATTGTTTAATCGGTTGTTCCCAGTCGACACCACTGGATTCGTTCTCACTGGGAACAAACGAGATAAATGAACTTTTTTCAGCTCTTATTTCTCGTGTGAATCCAGTGGTCACGACTGGAAACCACCGCGTTGAATCACTTCAGCCAATATAGACTGAAACAGTTATTAACAGTAATGTTCGTCGAGTACATAGTTAAAATTTATAAGCGTATAAATATATCGTATGGTCAATGGACAATAATCGACAGGTCGCTAATTAAAATGTCAGGAAATAAAGAATGTATAGAAATCAACAAAAAGTTAGAAGGCTACCGAATTCCTCTCACTTAAAGTATACCTAAAAATATGATTTTGTCTAATTATAATCTGGTTGACGATAGAACATCTTAACCTTTGAGATCGGCAAGAAGTATTTGTTCTGGGATTTCTTATCCGTCTGCGGTGGGTGAGTGTGCTTGTTGTCAAGGTAGATGATTTCATCCCTGGATGTGAAGACGACTGCTTTACAGCCGTGCTTGCCATGAGTGGAGCAGGTCCATTGGATCTTCTTGATAGGCGCGTTTACTTTGCTCATGTTCTTGATGGCGAAACGGTAGCCCTCGATTAGAATAATGCGACAACCTCTTAGCGATTCGGTGAACTCGTAACGTATACCTAAAACAAAAACGATATGTTAGTTGTGCCCATAGAAAAGTTAATTTGAACTTCCTTTTAATCTACCTACGATATAGGGAAAAAGCTCTAATATTTAAATAAAGCGATAGCAGCATACAAAGACATTTACTAATTATAGGAGTTTTTTATAAAAACGAAAAAAGCATTTGAAGAATAAATTTTAAAGATTAATGGTACAGAAGCTTTTTTTCTCATGTAAAAACTATTACAGTGCATATAAAATGTAAACAAGAACTTTTATTCAATCATTAGGAAGAGAAAATAATATACAATTATATTTTTGGACAATTTGTACTCGTATAATATGTAAAATTGTGTAATAGTAACAAACTCAATCACAATAATATGTATTTTAAGGCATCAACATTTTTTAGGCGCTATCTTTGATGATATTTTTCCAAACAGCAATATTTAGGCTGGAAACAGTGCTCGACCGACGGTCAGCGCTGACCGTCGGTATGAATATTGGTATTACTGAAGTGCTGCTTCGTCCGGCAATATGCAATTTATCGTATGTATTTTATAAAGACCATGATACTAAAATAAGTACTTGGTACGAAATTTGTACAGAATTAATTGCGCAAAAAATAGCCTGCAAATATTACAGCAAAAGGGTTCATTTTCTCGTGAACTGTACACACGCGTCGCCGTTAGCCGTCAGCGTAGCACTGAATGCATTTTCGCAACCGACGGTCATTGCTGCTGGTCAGGACGTACCGTTGGTTGAGCGCTGTTTCTAGCCTTAGAATTACCATGAACAAATTTATAGAAAATGAGTAATGCAAAATTTATACTTCCTTTGAAATGTAAGTTATCTATTGCCGATTGTGATGTTTTACATAAATTGTCTTCTTTAGATTATAATTATTTTGTTTTATGAAATTTCACAATCGCTAAGTAAGTTTCTCCAGTCCTTACTAGAAACATTAATAAGTTTCTAGATATCCAAATAGTAGGAAATAGGATCACGGTACACACGCGTCGCGTACGTGCGTGTTGCCAGTGATGACATACGGAACCGAGACGTGGCCGCTTACAATGGGTCTTGTAAGAAGGCTCAAAGTCACCCAAAGGGCAATGGAGAGGGCTATGCTCGGAGTTTCTCTGCGTGATCGAATCAGAAATGAGGAGATACGCAAGAGAACTAAAGTCACCGACATAGCCCACAGAATTGCAAACCTTAAGTGGCAATGGGCAGGGCACATTGCTCGCAGGACCGATGGCCGTTGGGGCGGAAAGGTCCTCGAGTGGCGACCGCGTACCGGGAAACGCAGTGTTGGCAGGCCCCCCACAAGGTGGACCGACGATCTGGTAAAGGTCGCGGGAAGCCGCTGGATGCGGGCAGCATGGGACCGATCGTTGTGGAAATCCATGGGGGAGGCCTATGTCCAACAGTGGACGTCTTTCGGCTGAAATGATGAGGAAATAGGATCACGGTAGGGATTGCGAGAGTGATGCTGAAATAATCGCAATGTTAAGCTATGATTCTCGTCTACCTTCAAACAGCTATGATTAAGTTAGCCACCTCTTCCTACATTAAAAATACAATAAGTGATGCACAGCCAATAAAAGTCCAGAACTTGTCGAACCGCAACAAATATATCTTATTATTTATTTCACCAAAACACATTTGATAGACAATTGAGAATAGATTGAAATTGTGGTAAATGATTGTGAGTATTATCGTATATCAAATACAAAAAAATAGAAACATGTTTAGTTTAAATTTTTATTTTACATTTAAATTTTCCCCGTCTAGGGTATGGATATACGCGAGGCAACCGTGGCTGTGATGCGTGAAAAATCTCTATCTGATCTTGCCGTTGCCGTATCGTTTCGATTGTGATAATCTATAGATTTCAATGACGATGATTTTATTGCCTCTATGGGATCTGGTGAGGTGTAACTTTTTATTTGTTAATGAAGAATTAATTTAATTGAAAGGACATTTATTTCAATTAAATCAACAAATCTCTTTATACATGCTTTTAAGAGCGATAGGGCATTAAACATTGACGCGCCGTGGGCAATATTCAATATTCCCACATTTATAAAGTTGCGCATTGAAATATTATCTCTTCCAGCACCCTGTCGACTTGCTATAAAAGCTTTACGTAGCATTCGATACGCCTTCTTTTCTTTGTACTCTAGTATTGATTTTTAATACATTTTCTGAAAATATTATGATCAAAGATGAAAGAGCATTTTTTCCGGCTCAGTAGTTATTTAGTGCTCTACTGTGCTACTATACCGTTTTATTTTACCCGTGTACAGGTCACTTAAGAGTGTGAAAATATTTCTGGTATGCTTAAATCACACATACCTAATATTTATCAAAACCATTTTTTGCTAAATATTTTCATAATTTGGTACTGGCCGCGTTTAGGATCTTGTAGAGGAGTGCAAGATAGTTTGTTTTCATCCACCTTTCAACTTTATTTCTATGGCATCTGGTTTAAGAAACTCCGAATTAAAAAAGATATGCCACAAAACACAAATTATATGACGACAGAGAAGTATAACAGCTCTATCAGCACCGAGTTTTTTTTTCTAAAGCACTTCACAATTGAGAAACAGGCTCGGTGTTTTAAATCTATAACGCCTAGCCCGTTTCTCTAACCCGTTTCTGCTCACACAGGTAAATAATATAAGCAAGTAATAATATTGCACTATATTATATTTACGTTTGTTATATATCAACTGTTTATTATTATAGCAATAAGGAAAAAAAAATAACTTTTAAATAAGACACATTATTATACTAATGAGATTTTATTATCACTAGAATGAATCAGACTATACTAGTACAATGTAATGAAGAAAGGGTAGTCTCAGTAAACAAACCATGCTTTAACATAATTTATTTCACACATGTCCTGTCGCATTTAGGGATTGTATATAATTATGCACTTCCTAGTAAGTGTAAATCCACATAACAACATCTATGCTTATTCACTAAGATATCTTTTTCATCAATTTTGATGTTCGTATAATTAGAGTGCAGTGCAAACGTATTTCTTTAAATATTCTTTCTTTATTTTATACATTGCATTGTTACTAGTTTTCAGAGTTTCAACGGTTGCTGAGATGGTCCCAAGACCTCATTAACTGTACTTAGGGAAACTTGTTGGAGGATGAATGTGATCGTTCCGAAGGTAGACGACGCAATCTCCAACGGTGTGCATGAGAGCTGTGCAACCCGACCCTCGGTGGGTAGAACATCTCCATCTGACTCTATTACTAAGCTTGTTCTTGCCTTTAACGACGGAGAAGCGGTATCCATCCACGCACATCACATTTTTACCTTTTGCCTTCACAGCTCGATACAATGAGACGGAATCTGCAAAACAAATACCCGTTTTAAAAAGAAACTCAATTGCATTGAGAAACAAAACTACGGGTATTAAATCTAGCATGCTTAATTACAGTGACTGTTAAATGTTTTTCTAAGGAAATAGGTATGTAAACTTTCGCAAAAGCTGTACTGCGCAAAAGATTAAAGGACAAACTAGTTTTTCTTAGGTCAAACTAATTCACCCTTTAGGCGACAGTACAAACTGGTACACACTAGGCGAATCTAGTTCATCCTAAGGCCGATAGGAGAATTTAGTTTAACCTTGACTGAACAAGTTGAGCATATTATGAATAAAGATACTTCAGGGTAAACTGGTTTGGTCTAGTTTATACTAATTCTGCCTATTTGTTTCTTAGGTTTTTACGCAAATCGCTCATTAAATAAAACTAGTTTTAACGGGTAACTGCACGAACTTTATTTATTTATTGACGTTTCGCAGCCTTTTCAGGTCTGCATCGTCAGAATAATGTCTTTTTATTTACTTTGTCGACCTACCTTCAATAAAAGTCTTTCGAGGGTAGCACGACTCGTTTATTTAATTCTGCCTAGTTAAAATTGTTTATGCGAGACCTGCCGAGATCTGTACATGCGGGCATCTGCCGATGGTATTTCTCATGCCCCAAAATTTGGATTATATTAGTTCTGGTGTTTTACTATTCCTTATTTATAGACTAGGCGAGACTAGATTATCCTGAAGTGTTTTTTCATATTAGGTTCAATTAGTTCAGCCTATGTTAAAAAAGTTTGGCAAAAGTAAGTGATCTCTTGACATCACAAAAAAATCAATTTCAACAACTAGTGGAGTGTGCCAGGCAGAAACATTTTGTGCAGAAACCTGGAGAACCTTCACATTGCTTACATTCATAAATTGTTTGCACCCTTTTTTTCTGTGTTCTGCAGCGTTTGCATTCTTTTCGGACCACTTGAACGGTTTCTTTCCTGACTCTTCCTACTATCTTTTGTCTGGCTCGGGTCTTTTCAATTTTAGTTAGATTGAGATTCACTTTCAAAACGTTGTATCGATTCACTTCATTAGGATTAGGTAGAATCATTTCTAGAATAGAATAACTCTTTATTGAATAACTGATACATCTTCTTCTGTATATATAAAAGGAAACCGTTACTGACTGGCTGATCATCATCATCATCATCAGCCTAACGTCTCCACTGCTGGAGTACAGGCCTTCCCTATGGATGGAATAAGGAGATTGGACTAACGACTGCACATACTACATGGAACCAACTTAAAGTGCATTCGGAAACATGGAGAGATTTTTTTTTCATTCACACGCCCAATGAATATATTCATGTTGCGCTGCGCCGCCCGGCATCTCGTTACTTAACGAGGCAGCTGTCAAGGATTTAACGATGCGCCTCGTTGCAATGCATCTCGCGGCGGGCGGCGCGCGGCGCAACGCAAAATCCCTGGCCACTTAAGGTACGAGTATCATCACGTCGACTCGCGTCTTGGTGTGAGTGAAATGCCTTTAGCGAATTTCCGATATTTCGACACTATTGCAAGCGCCATGATCACGGAGTAACTGAAGTAATTGCGGGTAGGCTGTTATTGGAAGACATATCGGTCTACCTTCCAAAAAAGTCGTTTATTGCGTTCGATACCCGTACCACTGTTTACATTGTCATTATTCACTCGAAACTGTTCTCAACACACAACACTTACAGTATCGGATCGCGACACGACACTTTTCTGATTATTTCGGTTTTTACACATACGAACCACAGGGTTCCAGACACTCTGTCGTGTAGCGACAAAATAAAAAGAAAGAAAACAGGTAGAGGTTATAAAATATATATATTTACAAGAATAAGAAGAATTTACAGGTTAAAAAAAGAATGGGGTATGGTATGTGTGTGTAGTGTGGAAATGTAACGTACCTTAATATGGTTTCGACCCATGGTTTCGATTATCATAGGTTCCATTTCGCACATTTTATCATAAGTATAACATTATCGATATTCATCAGGCATCATCATATATTTTATTATTTATTCCTGGAAACACATAATTTCAAAAATATCACACACTATTCATCATTTTGTAAATACGTATAATAATTTCTATTGTTCTGAAAATCACTATTCCAGAGTGCTGGACACTTACCGGCATTTCTCTTTATTCTGTTATTTACTTGTTTTCACTAATTTTGCTTTGATTTTATCTATTTTTAATTTATTTATTTTATTGACATTTATGACAACCTAATGTAAACCGTTGCCATGGCTACCCATGACATGGATACTCTCTCCAACTACGTCTATGACTATTCAACCTCCACAGACCACCTACTTTGATTCTTTTTGGCTCGATTCGAACCGTGTCTAAATTCAAATGGTTCCGGACCTATAAAAGGCCGAGCCTTCCTGATCATTCATTCAATTCTACGGCAAAAGTTGCCTACTCAACTTTTGAAAGCTCGCTACCGAGCTCTAAATTAATAAAAGGCCTTGTCCCGGGGCCGAGACCTCAAAGCTTTTTAGCACCTATTGGCTCTTTAAACAACTTCCTAACTCTAATACTATACAACTCTTCACGTACTCGCAACCTCATCGGTGGGACTGCGCCTGGACTCCAGCTTCTTCGGCCAGCCTCCAACTGCTTCAGCCCGCCTTCTACCGACTCCTGCCGTTTCATCAACGCCTGCCTCTGGCCGATATACGCCGGCCAAACTACCAGCAGCAGCGCCGCCAGCCACCACCAGGGCAGGGCAGGCCAAGAACTAAGGCGGCTGCACAGGAGCGCTTCTGCCTCCAAGGAGCGCCGTCCATCTGCCTGTAGCACGACCTACCGTTCAAGCCGCCCCTGAAGATCGCCGACGACCCTCGCCCACTTCACCACTTCCACTTCACACCCCACACTACACACACATACCCTACCCCATTCTTTTTTTTAACCTGTAAATTCTTCTTATTCTTGTAAATATATATATTTTATAACCTCTACCTGTTTTCTTTCTTTTTATTTTGTCGCTACACGACACGACAACTCGACAATTTAAACCCGTCCTCACGATTGAAATTTTTATGTATTATTATTCCAATTGCTTCCCTGACCAATCTTGGTATGTAGTGTCGTTCTGTCGAGATAATCCGTGGGTTATGGAACTCAATCCAGTGGTTAGGATCAGAATCAATCAAATGTTCCGCGATGACTGATTTCTGTGTATCGTTGTTCTTGATTGCTTTTATGTGTTCCCTCATTCGGCACGCTACTGTTCGCTTTGTTTGGCCAATGTACGAACTGCCATAGCTGCAATCGATCTTATAGCATATTTATATTATTTACCAGTTGACACTCAACATCATCTTTGTTACCTCTTAATATACAGAATACGTCGTCAATACAAAAACAAGGTACATGGTAACAATCCCGTAAATAACTTTTATTACTATAATGTTAGTGACCATGAAAGTTTAAAACAATATATCCAGGCAGTTGTCAAATTTTATAAACATAACTAAATTTTCTGAATTTTTTTCTTCTCAATCGGATTCGTCGGAATATTCTTTCTTAGATTTGTCTGATTTTTCTTTCTTCGAGGACCTGTTTTTCGGCCTTTGGTGATTATGAACGTTATCACAGTATACAACCACGTTATCGAGAGTCATCATTTTAGCTTTGCAACCGTGCTTCATGGTAGAGCAGACCCATCTGACGTTCAGGCTTTTCACTATCCGCGAATCTCGCTTCAAACGAAACTTGTAGCCGTCCAAAAGTATGATGGGGTTTCCTTTAGCTGACTTAGAAAATTTTGGAACTAAATCTGTAAAGAAATACTATGTTAAGTACGCATACTATTTCCGAATATTTTGAACAGTTCCAATTTCCAATACCCCTAACAACTGATGTAACATGATACATTAAATCGCGTAATTTACTGTCAATAAGAAATTATGTAACGATAAAGATTTTTTATAGCTACGAACCATTAGTTGTTGTTGTTACGTTATATCAAGGCGTTAGTTTTAATATGTTTTCGTGATAAATATAATATACGTCTCACAATCTGCAATCTGCCTTACAAGAGGAAGGTATAGTACTTTTAAAATTTATTGGTTACTGTGATGTTAGCGCAACTCGCAGTGTAGTAAAAGAAATGACACCTGCGCATGGTTGCTGTCCCTGCAAAGTTCACAGATGCCATACAATTTTAATCACACTATACTAAGCAACCGGAACAAGCTGCGTCGATAGATCGTTGACCAGATCAGTGATATTAGTCAGATTTAAAAAAAATGTATACTTGCTTTGTTATTTTGGTAATAAAAATGAGCGATTTAAGCTTTGATAACACAACACCAGATACTTCTAACGCAGCAACGGAAATTTGCAACCAATTACTACATACTAAATTAAGAAAACAGTACGAAAAGGCGTACCAAAATTTAATGAATTGGAAAATATCAAAGAGTAAAACATAATAATATAGAGGATTCATATCATGGATGCAGATAAAGTCTTGTATGCAACTGTATATAAGTAGGTATTAAAACATCATGTGATGCTATTATCACACTCGCCTTGTGTGATAAACCCACATTAAGGGAGAAACATATTAACGTGTCGTGTCGTGTCGTGGCGCGCCAGAAGCACATCGGTTTCATACATTTACTATGGTTAGAGACATATTTACATATCGTGTCGTGTCGACGCTTTAACTTCTCTATCTCTATCTAACCCATATACATTACACTTACATTTACACTACACTTACATTACATTACATACATTTATATGTATGAAACCGATGCGCCACGACACGCCACGACACGTTAATATGTTTCTGGCTTTAGTGTTTTAATACCCCTTATTATACAACAGTTGCATAAATAACTATTACAAAGAGGCTTTAATTATATTTATTATCACTCTTACATTGTTTCTGTATTATAATAAATAAATAAATATT